GCTCACCCGCCACGACCCGCCTCGCCTCGCGCGCGCTCTGTGCTTCTCCTCCTCCGTGACTTGTACTTTTTTACGCCTAACGCTCCGGTAATCCGCCATGACACATACAAGCCCTTGCGTCGAGCTCGCTTGGACTGTTCTCTCCGCAACGGTTCGACAAAATTATGATTTATTACGCATGAAGTCCGGTCACTAACATTGATCCCCGGCGCCACGATGAAATTCAACAGCTTTTTATATTCCTTGTGTCACATCTGTACCATTTCGACCACTTCCAATGCCTGAAGTGCGTACCACCAAACAGGGGTTGCCCAATTTTGGCCAACAGCTGAATTCAATACCCTCTCTGGCCATCTCATAGATTCTGGGAGTTGGGACGCCAGAACAATGGCGCTTTCAAGAAGATCATGACATATTCATATCTGCTGGCAGTGCCGCTCATATTCATCCGCAGGTACGCATGATCCGCTTGCGTCTGTTCCCGATGGGGCTGCGGGCTTACGCGAGGGCGTTTTTTTATAGTTTTGTGATGATGTACATCAAGTATAACGTGTGAGCAGGGGTAGAGTGCCAACGTTAATGTCTACAGCAACTGATGAGTATTCGAATTCATGCAGTGGTTATTCGTTCATCCCCGGTCACGGGTACATCCCGACGCCATGGCAGCTATGGCCGGAGCACTACCAACGGCTTATCTTCCCCGCCCAGATCTGCTTTGCATTTGCTTGGGCACTTGAAATGTAAGCTTTTCCCTTTATCTCCATTTGTTGGTGGACTGAGCGGGTCTCTAAATAGCGTATCACATCTCGAGGAGTTGTGCTTCTGGCTGTTCCTGACAGTAAGTGAAGTGGAGCGCACTATCTCCATTGGAATGATGACGAACGAGGCGCCTTCATTCATTTGTATTTCTAGAATATGAGCCCACTTCATACACCCTGGTTCAGTAGCTGGAATTGTTGGGCATGGGCGGGTGGGTCAGTCGTCGGTCTCATCGTCATGCCCGTCGTCGCGGTCGTAACTCGCAGTGATCCTCTTGTGGTAAGCGTATTTTATCGATGCTTCGAATCGCGGATCTGACGTGCTGCTTTGCTATTAGAATGAGGCATACATATCTCTTGTTGGAAGCATCATGTCTACGATCATCACCCTCGCATTCTTCAGAGTCATGTTCGTCGTTCACCGGTCATTGCATGGAGTGTGGATGATGCTGACATTTATGACCCAATCACACATTTAGTTTCATCTTCCCGAGTTTCATGGCTCGAGTGGTAAGTTCCCCCATGTGAACGTCCCGCCGACTACGAGGTCACCGATGGGACCATTTATCTTCTGTTTTCAGAAAAGCGAAGGCGCTGGTCAAGAGGTCGTCACACGCCTTCAAACCTTCCATTCCCTAAACGTACGACCATGCTCTCATCCGTCAAGCATTACTAAGCCACCCACTGACTGAAATCTGCTAATGTCTAGTTGATCCGAGTAGCGTTCAGACTGACGTTCGTAATCGCCATCTTGGTCCTCGCCAGTGATGGCATTCGACCTCATGACGTCCACCCCATCAATTCAACTGCGTACGTTACTCCCTTTCCACTCTAGCTTTCCTGTCATCGTCGAATGCCCACTCATCATCACATCATCGATATTTAATAGTCTCTGGGCCGACTTCCTATCACTTGTTGGAGGCATTGGATGTGTTATCAGCTCCGCTTTGACTCTGCTCATGTACGTCGTCAACGATCAACTCAACATCCCCCGATGGCGCATTTGTTCTAATTCAGACTGTCCATCACTTTTTATAGCTTCTTCCCCCGATCAATGCCTCGCGAAGCTGGTTACGCATCCCGAGTCGTATCGAAATCCAATGGGGAGAAGACCCAAGATCGAAGTTTCTTCAACTCTCCCGCCACCGAGTCGAACAATCCCTTCAGCGATACCGCCCGAGCTCAGACGACGAGTCGTACACCGATCATTGAGTATAAGAATGCGTTATGGGAGATCGAAGAGAGTAAGCTTGTGTTCCCCTTCAAGGCTGTGTCGAAGAGAACCGGGGCTGATCGATGAATCCCCTTTTGGTACAGGTAATGCCGCGGAAGCAGAGCAGTATCGGCTCCCTCCAGCGTTGAGATATCCGCCAAACTCGACATTACCGGGCAAGAAGATCAAGAAGTCAAAAGCTCCATTGGTCCATCCGCTCGTCCTCAACTACACCAGTCCCATTGGTCTGTCAACTCTCATTCTTCTCAATGGTGTCCACCATTAGCTAACCATTACCTTTGGTTATGCCGTACAGACCTGATGGACGTTCCGAGCGACCCATTTGCGGCTGAGACTGGCGTGCACATCGTCTGAGCTGAGACTGGCACCCTTGTATATCCTATTCTTGTACATGTCGCGGATGCCTGTTGTGCTATTTAATGTATCACGCTGCCTTGCAGTTTTTCTCTCGTTTAGCCTGCATTCACCGCTGTTTATAGATATACCATTTGTATGAAATGATGTTTGATGTTTGTAAAACCGAGCAAGTGCCTTTTGATTAAGCTGTGAGCGACAAAACTTGACTTATCATTGAGCACCTTCTTCGCCTCATGATGAAGGTGTCATAGTTGCTCTGTCCGGTCGTTCTGTGCCGGTGCCATCAATCAGGATAACTAATTATTAGTGTTATTATTCCCTTGCTAATAAACCCATGGATCACACATAAGGATCGACGGCTTCCGACGCCCGGACTCCTTATCAGAATTTCCCCCTACGAGTATCGACTCGGGCCGGGCAGAGGGACCCGTCCATTCGGTATCGGACCAATATTATATCGTCAAACGCAGGATAAAGACCAGTCATACTCAAAACGGAGTCATCTACTACATTAAGCTATCTATATAATCGTTGTCGACTAGCCCAAAGGCCATTGACATGCGCAGCGGGCTGGAGCGCGACTCATAAGAACTGTTTCGATTCCTTATCCCCTCCAACTACAAGAGCCACCATTTCCCGTCCACTCAGCAGCTTCCGAGCATATCCAAGCCTCTCGGTATTTGGCTTTAGCGGCATCGCATCGTTGAATGGTTCGAGGCGCCGATACCTTCGACGATTCACTCTCGTCAGAGATCTCGGTGAGCCTATCCAAGACATTAGCTTTTTTTTGACGTCAATCGAACCTCTTTTATGCAGGCTGGTCGCTGTCGGTGGTCAAGGTTTTGCGCGGAGCACGGTGCAATTCATATGCGCGCTGTCGCTTGATATCGAGGGCGATAGCCCCGAGCTGTCTTCGTTATTCCATCGTCTAGCGACCGCAGCACTCCCGCGTAGCGCGTCCTCCTCCGCAGTACGTCTCAGGCGCCTGAGTTGAGCGTCCGTCCGGATTATTTACTTGGTCGTCTCCCACATCAAATTATCTACAAACTGCTAGGCCAGGATCGCCCGCGACGTAGAAAATGACCATCGGATTGAGTAGTTGAAGTTCTTCGTGCTCCTCAATCGCATTCCAGAAGGTTATGGTGGTTCGCTTGCGAGTCGTTTTGTTAGTATGGGCCCAATCCAATATCCGGAGCACAATTGCCACTTCTCAACTTTGGGGCTCTCAGGCTCTCGACGTTTGGACACCGTCAGACAGGCAGTATGGATGCTCTTCACTGTCCAAGCTCAACTAATATCGGGACGGAAGGAATGAGAGATTATAAAGTGTCGAAATGGCTGATGATAGATTAACCCGCAAACGATATCCAAGGCCAATCGGTAGGGAGGGAAGGGCAACCAAATGCCAGCGACCTCAGTTCTCAAGAATCTCGCGTATCCGTAAGTGGATAGTGGGCAAGCCTATATGAACATCCAGGCGATTGCATCCGTAATGAGCAATGCAGGTCTCCCGAACGTAGAAATGCAGGAGAGGGACTGGTAGTCGGGAGCTCGGCTCCAAGACGACAAGACATGCAGATATCATAAGCGATGTACGTTTAAACCCGTTGGCTTCAATGGTTGCAATGCCACGTAGTGGCTGCGGGGTGTGAAGGACGAGAGACGAGTGAATTCAAGTCGTGATTGAATTGGGTGCGGTCGCCAGGAAAATGTTGCTAAGGTTGACCTTTTACATCGGCGAAGCAAGCGACCTGCATCTTCGCCAGAACCTGCCGGTCAGAAGCCCTCAAGGGTAAATGGAGTCTACTGGAAGTTGATTCACCCAAGCTGGGCGTGTCCTAGGGCTGACAGCGGATTAACCATGTGGTTACAACTGCTTCTGTCGGCGGGGCTCTGCCTCAGCTAAACGCAAGTTCTCTCAACCGTCGCTGTCACCTTCCATTGTACAAGACACTGGATGTAGAAAAGGGAGACTGAATAAGTAGTAGATAGGCTCAGGATAGGAAGGATATTGAGGCCGGTTATACTCAAGACTGTATTTCTTGTATTCTCACTGCATGCGAGAATCTGGCCGTCGACCGAGTCGTACGTGCTACAAATATCCGATTTGTTCCATCCTTTTCTGTCTCTAGTCGCCCAACGTCGATGGCGTTTGTCGTTCCTAAATACGAAGTATCGGCAGGGGGCCATTCTTTAATTTGTTGAAGTCGCTGATTTTCAGTTCTTCTCCGTCATGGTGTTGCTACAAGGGCGAACCCTCCAATCCAGCAGCGGCTGAATTAGAGGTGATTGGCAATCGCGACAAACTGATAATGCCTGCTGATGTGCCATGGTAGCAGCCACATCTTTCGACTAATTGAATCGGGGGTTGACGGTATCATCGATTTGTTGGTATCGGCATACGATATCGGGACCATCCGAAGGAACGCCTGACGGCGGAGAAAGACCTAGGGATCAGGAAATGCATCATCTTGACACCGTGGACCCCGCCCTGGGGATAAGAAGCGAAGCGAAAGTTTACGTACATCATTAGTGCTTCTATTGCTGAATTGAGATCCCGTGGCATGAGGGCCCTCTTTGTGAACATGCGCCTTTAGCTGCGACGATCAGGCATGCTAGAAGTGGACCAAAAAAAAGAGTACCAAAAGAAGGGCCCGTACTGCGGCTCGAACGCAGGACCACTCCGAAGATTGCATATATGCCCAAACGGAGTATCGTACCACTAGACCATACGGGCTTGATGGAGGAAAGTCTCAAGTACATCTTAGGAAGTGATTTTGCCGCTGGCAGCATGCGGCGAATCTGCACCACAGCTGTCTGTAGACTCCAAGGACGTACTTCAGCTAATCGAACAGTCATGCAAAGGTAGTGGTACTAGCAAGATAAGACATGATCCGGCTCTGGCTCCAAAGACGGGTTCACAATATCTGGGAAAGCCGACGTTGTTCAAGATATAAGCGGGCAGTCGCACCATGTTGTTGGACATGCTATGTCATTCTCGGCTTCTCCTGCAGTAGATGTTCCAAGGACTGAATATGTCAACGAATCTCCCGTCCGTCTGCATCACAAACATGGTGAAGAGTACTGACCTCATTATTTATCACTGGCGAATTACTTTCCTGTTCAGCCACCTCTCTACGACACTGCTCTGAGGGCACGCCGTGCTTTCCTTGGGAGCTTCCCGGTCAGACTTGGCGCGGGTGTACATGGACTGGCAGCATTTATACAGTTCCATCATCTGGGAATCACATTTCTCGGGAGAGTATGTGTTGGCTGATATACAGTCTTGAAGTTTGCATGCTGTATATTCAATGTAAATGTGAGAAAAGAAAAGGATGGAACTCTGGGTCGGATGGCAAGTGAGATGATGGACCTTGTGCTTGACATGATTGTGCGTCCTGCAGAATTTTGCTAGGGTTTAAGTTTCTCCTTTGTCTCAGGTGAGGTGTAGGTCATACCTGGGCCATGAATCTCAGCTGCTATTATACTTAGTGGATTGGGCAAGACAGTCTCAAACATCTAAACTAGTGCAAACTAGGTTCGACGTTTCATTGCCAACTACCACCGCCGACCTCGTTCCCTCGTTGCCACATCGAACTCTTAACTTCCTGTAATGTCGACAGCACATAGGCCCACATGGGATCCTGCACAGGGAAAGGATATCAAGACTGGCTCACGCCAGTTCTCGACGCGGGATATGGCGTCGCAGACCAAACTAAAATTCAGGTAATGCAATGCCCGGATGACATACACAGGGTATCCACATTGACCATCAGTCTCACAGACAGGCTGGACAATCTTCTACAGCTGAAGTTGCGCGGAGGGACCTACGTGTTGAGTTGCTAGCGGCTGAAGCCGATGCGCGAGAGAAGAAGAGGAAGGCGGAAGGACGGCCACTCGAAGCACCTGTCAAAGCCGCAGGGTTGATTGAAAACGCCGATGACGAGGCGAACAAGAGGAGGAAGATGCTCCAGGAGGCGATCGCGCTTGACAAAGATGACGAGTCTGACGACGAGAAGAAGGAGGAAGACGAGGATAAAGACGACAGGTCTGCATGCCTTGATGTTGTAACCAAGACAGAACTAACGTCGCCGTGCCCGTCAATTAATAGCGAAGAAGACGACGATGACGACGATGAAGACGATACCGCGGAGTTATTAAGGGAGTTAGAAAAGATCAAGCGGGAACGCGCTGCGGAGAAAGAACGCCAGGTGCGTCGTTACGTCCGTTTCCTTTAGCAGGCCTTTCTCATTCGAATTCGCGTTCCAGGAGCAAGAGCAGAACGCCAAATCCGCCGTTGACCGAGAAGCGGAAATCGCTACATCAAATCCGCTCTTGAACCTCGCCGCTGCTTTGGGGCAGACGCCTGGCGGCGCATCTGTCGCGTCAACTACCGGGACATTCGCAGTCAAAAGGCGGTGGGACGATGGTGAGCTTGGTTTTCGTGACGTCGTCGAAGTACTCCGGGCCTGATCACTCTTTTTGGCATCCTTCCTAGACCTGATTTTTAAGAATCAAGCAATGAACACCAATGGCAAGCCAGGCGGACAGTTTGTCAACGACTTGCTTCGAACAGAGTTCCACAAGTGAGCGTTTTCCGCATGTCGCTTTGAACTCACACTGATCGGTCACATCCTCAGGAAATTCATGGCCAAATTTATCAAGTAACAGGTCTGTGGGTGTTGCAAGGTATTTCACTATACTAGTCCTGGTAATAATGTATCGGTTGGGGATCGATTTCTCCCATACGCAAAGTCTCATTGGTTACCGATAAGCGAACACAAATGAATAGAACCCTGGATTCTTTCTACGAATGCGGGCAAGTGGAACCAGGGATGGAGATGCCGGCAACTGCGGTAGATCGCTTAGATTTTGAACTTGACTGTTATTGAACTCGCGCTCTTTCGATTGACCAGCGTCTTTCTCATCCCACTCTTATTGTACACACGACCATCCACGACGCTCCTTTCTGCCCTTTTCTGTGGCGTAAGGCGGCTAAGCTGTTTCAGGGCGAGCTTCTCCGGCCATCCTCCTATTCGCTTCGCTTTTTCGCTCCTCTTCCACTCCCATTCAGTCCCAGGTCAAATAGATCAAGCTGCTCGACCAAATTGTTGTGCAGGATTGATACTCCCCTCCAAAATTTCTCTCCATGTCTGGGAAGAAGAAAATTCCTGGTATAGGCACGAAGAATAACGCGTTCGACCTACCTCCATCCCCAAGTTCTCCCAACCTCCTGTCCGCAACAAGCCCGCGCTCCTCTTCACCATCTGGCTTGCAAGGTCTCTTTTCCAAGCCGTCGAAATGGTTCTCCAGAGCTCCATCGGCGTCGAAGCAACAGCAGCAGCAGCAGTCGACGTCAACGCCATCACAAGAGCCACGTCCAAGGCCTTCAACAAGCTCGTCGCGTCGCCCTACGATTTCCGGCCCTTCGGATCCACGGCATTATCCCACTCTAAACGTCCCCGGGACAGGCCTAAGCGGCAGTCAGTGAGTACTTCGTCCGGGGGTCCCTTGTTCCCGTTACGCGATTTTCGACTGTTGAAGAAGAGAAGGAACGACTTGCTGACGAAATTACCCACGTTTGGCTCCTGTCACCGAAAGATCTGTCGTCGACTTATCGCTGCAGCCGAGTCATGAAAGCCTGGTCGAAGAAGAACGCGAGTCGGGAGAGTTGAATGCTGCGAGTAGGAAGCCATGGTCTCGTTCAGTCGACGATCTATCTAGCTTTACGTCAGGTGGTCTATCACCCGATACTACGCCCAAGAGGATGAACAAGTTGAATATAGAGGAGTATCGGAACCCTCCTGTGCCCTTCCCATCCTTGAACACGGAACAGTCTCCGCTCACGACTTCACCTTCGCTTCCCGCTCCTTCCTCACCATCGAGGCTTCAGTCACCGGCTTTCCAGCTCCTCGTCCAGAGTGCGCCCTCTGAGGACGAAACACCCATACCAAAATCGCATGTCCGTGCAAAGTCGCAAGGTGCGCACCATCCTGAACGCGTAAAGGTACCGGCAGTCATCCCTCTACCTTCGCCACCCCGTCGCCGACCTTCTGCGGACAGTCAGGACCCTCGTCAACGAGTCTCTTCGGACAAAGAAAAGCAGGCTGGGGGCTTTGGTTCCCTTGGCTTCCCCTTCCATTTCGGCGCCGGACAGAAAGTCTCGACTCCGCCAACTTCTCCCATGGATAGTCCTCAGCTATCCTCCAATAAGCATGGTTTGCCCTTTACGGGCCCAAACGCTGTTGTCAGGATTATGGAGCCTAAGCGGGATCCTTCGTCTCGTTCTTCACAGATCATACACTGTTCTGGTTTCGTCAGCCGTTTCACGCTCTCGTCAAAGTTCAGCTCACAAGGTCTCGCAGTCGATAAGAACTGGAAGCCCTTCAAGGCGCAGCTTCAAGGGACCAAGTTGTACTTCTTCAAACCGCCTGCCGATCGTGTCGGAGAGATCCGGGAGCTTTTCTTGACAGGTCCAACACCGGTCCTCCCTGAAATCGAATCCAAGTCGAGCTTGGACCCTGAATATGGCAGCGGCGAGTCAGGTGTGCACGGAAGGCAGAGAAGCACAGAAGACGGAAAGCGGAAACGCGCATACTGGGGACGAGCGCAGCATGCCGATTTGTGCATCTCCGAGGACAAAACCCCCAAAAGTGGAACATCGGACGCGTTGATTCACGAGACCATCTTTGCCACGACGTTCCAGAGAGAATCCGACCCTACCAACGAGATTCCCATTTCAGAGCGACTACTGACCGAGCCTGATGAGGTACGGTGGCGTCAATTCGCAACAGCGATCCTCCTCTGTTTGCCGGCGCGGATAACCAAAGCGAGCTTTGAAACCGAACTCATACGGGATCTAGACTCGTTCAAAAGGGGTGCCACGGATACGGAATTGCAAAATCAGCGTAGCCGCCTCAAGTGGTTGGTGTACAAGTATATCAATTTGCACGGCGCGGCAGCCAAAGAGGGTGAGTGGCAGGCACTACTCGAGGAGTATGACGAGGCAGACCCCTGCTCGTCGAGCGGGTCACCAACTGTTCGAGGTTCCCGTACAATCATACTCTCCGATCCATCTCCACAACGGGGAGGAAGTCCATCAACTTCAACTTCAGCTCCCCTGCTCAGCGCACAGACTCGCCCTCCGCCGGCCCGTGGCCTCAGTACTGACTCTATTGATCGATCAAGGCTCGCAAATGTGTTGACTTGCGAAGGATTGTCTCGGGAAACCTTCGCCCGTACGGAGATGCGTAAAGTCGCGGACAGTCTCACGGAATTCGCCCGCTCCCAACTCGATGGACCCATACAAACAGCAGACTTTTTGGTGGATGGAGAAACTGGCAATAGCCTCTCGGCCTACGCTGGATCGGACGACAAACCGCACTGGCTCACGCGGATCGTGTTGGACATGGTACTTGAGCAGGTTGGACGGGCAGAGAAGCGGCAGGATGACACGGCCGTAGCGAACGTTGCTCCGAAGTCTAACTCCTCCACGTACGTTCGAGCGGGGGTGGTATCGCGTTGGGTTCAGATCGGGGAGAAGTGTCGTGTAGCAGGTGATGAGTGCTCTTGGCGAGCCATTATGAGCGGTCTTTGCTCTGTTCCTGTCGTAAGGCTGGAGAAGGTGTGGAAAAGGGTGGACGCTGCTGAGAGAGTGACCGTCTTCGACTGGGTTTCAGGAGAAAGGTCGTTGGCACGAGGTGCCGTCACACCATGGGCGGGTGACCTGCGACAGAA